GCCGAGAGGCGCGGCCTCCGCCAGCAGGGTCCCTCCAGTGCGGACGGCACCCTGGCCCGCGGCAGCTACTCTCCCCGCCCGCCCAGCATCAGCGAGAACGCGATGATGGAGGTGCTGGCCGCGGGGGCCGACAGCGCGGGGCCTGAGGGCAACTTGGTGCTGCCCGAGGACGACCTGGTGCTGCCCGACGACGTGGTGCAGTACATCAAGGCGCATGCAGGGGGCGCCCTGGATGAGAGCATCTCTCAGGTGTATCCCCCGGAGAGCACCTGCTTCTCTGAACACCCCAAACTGCCCAGCCCAGGGCTGCTGGGCCAGCGCAGGATGGCGGCTGCGGACTCCAACGTGGGCCCCTCTGCTCCTGTACTGGGAGGCTGCCAGCTGGGCTATGGCGCCTCCTCTAGCCTGAACAAAAACAGCATGCCTGTGCAGTGGAATGAGGTGAGCTCTGGCACCATGGATGCCATGCCCAGCCAGGTGAAGCCTCCACCCGTTCTGCAGGACAACCTGGCTGTGGTGCAGCAGAAGCAGGCCTTTGGCCAATACCCAGGCTACAACGCACAAGGCCTGCAGCCGAGCCCACGGGGTCTGGACAGCACACAGCCACACCTGCAGCCCTGCAGTGGAGCCCCCTCTGTGCCCAGGATAAATTATATGCAGCAGCTTCGGCAGGCAGGAGCAGGTGGCCATTGTCCCAGCATGACCACCACAGTGAGCCCCCACACCAGCTACGGCCAAGCCCACTCCCAGCTGAGCTCCAGTACCATGGGCGGGGCCCTGAACCAGTTCCCTGCATCCTGCAGCAACCTGACAGCCAAGCCAGGCCACCTGGGGCTCCCCCAGCAAATGGAAGTTGCTCCCGACCCCTCCATGATGAGCAGTAGCCGAAGGGAACTTGGGGCCCCCAATTCCACCTTGTCCGGGATGGCACCACCACATGCAGCCCAGAGTTACCCACAGCAAAGTCATCACCTGGCAATGCCCATGAGCCAGGAGAACTACCACCAGGGCCCCAGCCTTCTGCCTTCCCACCAGCCTGGCTTCATGGAGCTCCAGCAGGGCACAGTGGGGCTCGTTGGATCAAGCTTTGGCGTAGTGCAACCCCGGCCACCCCCTGAGCCCAACCCTGCTGGCCGCCACCGTGGAGTACGTGCTGGGCAGCAGCTGGCCTATGCCAGGGCCACTGGCCATGCCATGGCTGCTATGTCAGCCAGCCAGGAGATGGCAGAGTCTGTGCCCAAGGGAGCAATGGGCACTATGGTGTCTCTGCCTCCTCAGCTGCCCCCACAGGACACAGGTGGGGCCCAGGACCACAACATGCTCTACTATTATGGCCAAATCCACATGTATGAGCAGAATGGAGGCCTGGAGAACCATGTAGGCTGCCAGGTCATGAGGCCCCAACCACCACAGCCACAGGCCTGCCCGGAGAGCGTCCAACCCCAGCCCTTGCCCTCACCAGGGGTCAACCAGGTGTCCAGCACTGTGGACTCCCAGCTACTAGAAGCCCCCCAGATTGATTTTGATGCCATCATGGATGACGGCGATCACTCGAGCTTGCTCTCGGGGGCCCTGAGCCCCAGCTTCCTCCACAATCTGTCCCAGAACTCCTCCCGCCTCACTACCCCCCGGAACTCCCTGACGCTGCCCTCCATCCCCACGGGCATCAGCAACATGGCTGTTGGGGACATGAGCTCCATGCTCACCAGCCTGGCCGAGGAGAGCAAGTTCCTGAACATGATGACCTAAGGCCCCAGCCCTGGTGCTGAGGGACCCAGCAGAAGCATCATTTCCAGAGCAGGGCTGTCATCCATCTTGTCTTTTTCCAAAAAAGTATTACTAGGTCTGAGGGGTGTGCCAGTGGCTGGCTCAGACCACAGTGCTTAGGCAAGTTTACGTGCATCCTGTCTGGTCTTCTTTGGGGTTATTTTTCAGAACACTGAAAAAAATCTCAATAGCAAAGACTCGTTTACACAGTGCTCCCACCTCTGGTGTTTAGGGGACACTCTGCTCCAGCTCTTTTGCGATCATTTCGCTAATGAGGGATTCCACTGGCCGGGCTCTCCAAGCACACAAGGAAAAGGGGAGAGGAGCTACAGTTGGGTTGAATCTGAAAGCCATACTGGACATTCTAATCTGGGAAGATGAGCTTCTCATTCCAATACTGCAAGGAAAAGGAGTTGCTGGCCCACCAGAATCCCTCTGCGAAGCTTGATTCATGAGGCCTCTAATGCCCCTTGTCACGGAGGAAAAACAGAGTTTACCTAGATGACCTGGAAGCACATCCTGATTTCAGGGTTGGTAGAGCTGGCATCTCTATCCTGCAGAGCCAACTTTGCAACTGGCAGACTGTCCAAGTGTGTACTAATGAATAAAGGATGGAAGTATTCCAGAAAAGGGAAAGAGAATCACAAGCTCGGGGCCTGCCCAGAAGCCGCCTGGGCTCTCCAGACCGTGTTTACAGTGTTCACGTGTGTAAGACGCAGCCTCCCTGAAAAGAACGCTTATTTCTAAATACCTCGGGGCTTCTGGAGCTGCTGTGGCTAGGGATGGACCGAGGGCATCAAGTGTGGGATGGGACCTTTAGGAAGGGAGTGCACGGGCCCAGCCGCAGGCCCGCCTGGAGGTCTCCAGTAGGAAGAGGAAGTCACATGTTTACCCAGCCCTGTGGCTCCATTCACTGGCCACCCACTTTACCCCAGGGCTTGAGGCAGCTCTGCCCAGGTCCCTCCAGGCCATGCTGTCCACTCACCAGCAGCCCAGTGGTCGATGCCAAGCCACACATGCAGTCCAGGCATCTGCTGGATCCCTTCCCTCTGCCCCATCGTTCAGTTCAGAGAGTGATGGCACGCATGGTGTTTGGTGGGAGCAGGAGGGTAAAGGAGCCGATTCCTGGGACTCTGAGGACCATCACTGAGCTCTCCTGTTCAGTGTGACCAGGCCCTAGGCCCAGATGGAATGTGGAACTGGCGTCAGAAGATACTCCTGAGTATACTATAGGATGAATTGGTGCGTCCTCCCCAAAACACACATACACCACCACCACCCCCACCTTCCCCATGTTGAATTTGTGGCAACCTTGCCAAAAGCAACTGCACCACTATGAGCTTGATACTGACTGTGACCCTGGCTCCAGGCAGGAGAGGCCCAACACCTACCTGGGCCCTCTGCATCCCAGAACATCCAGTGCTTTGTTAGGGTCCAGAGAAAGGCCAAGTCCAAGCAACGGCCCTGGGAGAGGTCCAGGGTCTGGGCTCTGTGGTAGCCGTTCGTTCCCTGGGCTAGGATTTCACTACCATTCTCACCCTGTACATAGTCTGTACAGAAGAGTTGTCCCTGAAAATACTGTAGGTGAGTCATCCAGCCAAATTTATATCTCCAAAACATTTCTAGCTTTTTTCTACATGCTATGAATTGAGATGACATGCTCAACTTGTAAATAAGTCTTTTTGTACATTAAAAAGTAATTTTTTCATAATTTATTTTGTCTGTCTGCTTCCTCCTTGACAGTAGTTAATGAGAACCTGAGCAGTAAATTTGGTGCATCTGAACTGAAATTAGGCTGTATTTTTTTCCCATTGGTGTCAAAATGGACTGTCCCACATTTGCCCAGAAATGCTTAATGCAGAGGTATTTACTGGCTATGTGTGTTTTCTCTCTGCGGGTGGG